CATTAGTGAGCGCTGTTACACTTCGCTATATCTAAAGCCCAAGCCTGTGTTCTGCAGCAGGTTTGTAAGAACAAGCGACGAATTTAAGCGTAATCAGGAATGTAGTGTGTGTTCGAGGTTCGCCAACATTCCGATGACGCTCACATGTTTCCAAAATGCCAGCCCTGTCAGTATGTGAACATGATCCGTCGTGCAACTTTACGAGCGGTTAAATATACCCAAAACGTAAAGAATAAAGTAATTTGACTATAAAGGGTGTCTCTTTTTATTATTTCCTATGCCGGAAAGAATTTATCGGGTGACTGTTTTCAGGCTTCTCCCTATTTTGAAATTTCGAGCGTTCGGATACGTTTTGAACGCATCTTCGTACACATGCATGAGCGGAGAGAATAAAGCAATACTCATTTATTTCAAATCGAACTATAATTACTTGACGTTCAAAATGCATGTATGAAGCTATTTTAGCATGTCATGAATTTAAAAGCAAAACTACTGGAACCCACCAATATTTTTCTTTAGGTGATTGAGAAATGTTTCAAGCTATGAAGGGCGTTCATAACGCTTCTATCAGTGTCATGAAGGAATAGAAATTTAGCAATGAAACTCGTGTAGGAATTTAGTCTTTCTCATACATATGCGCTGATCAATGTCACACTTGCCGCCGATGGACAACCGGCCGGAGGTCATTGTTATAGAACTGCTTGTTTGGAGTGTTCCAGGATCGTTCCAGTTCAACAGTAACTTGGTGGTCGTCCTCGAAATGCTTTCAAGCCTGTTTGGTTACACTGGAATCGTCTGGGCCATTTAACCAAAGTTCCATAAACTGGGGCGTTGTACCCGAACAACGCCACCAGCTCGGGATGAAACTCCTTGACATTGTTACCCTTCATATGGAGAAACCGGATCACTGCACGTGCTTCAATTTTTCCGACCGGCGCTGCCATTTTTGTTTCGACGCCCTGGCGGCGTGTGGTTTCGATGCCCTGGCGGCGTTCCGCGGTACTAGACTATCTAGGAAGAGATCAGACCGTGGCGCCCCAAGCGGCTAACTTTAGAACTACACGAATGAGGACAACAAATAACAATAACTCGGCGCTCGACTGACGTAACCGAACGCCGCACCGGCGTACGGCTGGAGTTCGTGACAGCGTCTGGCTTTCGAACACAGTCGTCAAATACATATCTGCGGCCACTTTGAGAATGATGAACAACACACCACCAAAATGGTGGAAGGGTGGCATAACGGTGTGCACAGCCGGCTGACGAGTCATCATCCAGACTTAGCTGAATTTATACAGTTCCTGCAAGCTATCCAGCATTCCTCGCAACACAAGATCCAGGCACTGATCTTGGGTTCCCTCGCGGGGGCATCTGCACCGGGGGTCCAAGTGATCAGACGTAACAAGCGGCTGTAGAAGGAGAGGGATATTGTTTCGTACTACTTGGTGACTGCAGTTACATTTCAAGACGTGCTCAACTGCGTTGTCAGTATTTCAATGACTGGAGTCGTTCCATATACCGAACTGACTAGTACGTGAGCCGACTTGCCTGAAAATTAGTAATTTTATTGGTGTACTCTTGTGCACACAATAAACCTTTTTGTAGTACCTCGGGCAATACTGGCGTTTTAATCGGTTCCCAAATATGACCCAGAGCATAAAATGTTTTCGGCCTTCCGTGCGCCTGTTTCTCCACCGTCTGCCTCTCGTTGAACCATTACTTTTCTTTCCCGAGCATACGCTACTGCTGCACGATTCCGGACCATTTGCTCGGATTTAACTGCGGCAGTTATGATTAGCGCCCTGTGTCTTTGTTATTCTTGTCTCGGTTTGTGTTTTTTCGGCGCTGTATATCCTTTTCAATTCTGTTGTAACGTGTCGTGCGTTGCTTTATATGCTATTTATTTACATTATTTACACGTTGGTTTTATGGACTGTCGAAGTACGACATGGCTGCCCTGCTGATCACCCGAGCAGAAGTGCCCGAGCGTTCTTGGCGTCTTCTTCTTCATCCGCTGCCGTGGCTTATATGTGGTCGCCACACTCTTATTCTTAATTAGGCGTTCAGCTGAAATAAATTGCTGAAATTCTTTCCACCTTGTATCTAAAATGATTTGTTCCTTTTAAACCTTCTTCGAACACACCATTTGCATACTTGCATGCTAAAGAATATTTGACACGCAGTAAGTTTTATTATATCGTTTTCAAGCATGCAATCTGTTCACCGCACTATGGAGCAATACAGAGCGGAACACTACAGGGTGAAACAAGGAGACGCCAGGCTCTTTAAATCGACCGGAAAATTCAGTTTCTTAACCTATCGGGCTACGACTTTAACAGCGTTGCCCACAGATGGTGCATTTCCTTTTTTTGTAAAATTTGCGAAGAGCGAACTTACCTGAGGAAAAAGTAAAGAAAGAAAAAGGCTTAGCTTCTGTGGAAACGCAGCGACGCAACCGGTCTGCAAACAACACGGCGCCGTTTCGAGACAAGAGATGGCGCAAGCGGTCACGACGATAACTGCCGCCAACGAACGGGCAGACGACGCCGAGAGCCGGTGTATTTAGCAGACAAGCCACTGCAGTTCCTTGTTGTTATCGCGCCTGTTTTTGTTTCTGCGACTGTCGCCGCCCGCGAAACGCGCTCTGCTTTTGAGTCGAAAAGATTGTCTGCTAAAGACGCTGGCTCTCGGCGCCGTATGCTCGTTCGTTGGCGGCGTTCGTTGCGCCATCTCTTGTCTCCCGTGCGAAACGGCGCCGTGTTGTTTGAAGACCGGTGAAACCCATGAAACTCTCACGTGAGAGTCACATGGGTGTCAGCCCCGTCTAACTCTCACTGTTCCTTAAAACATATGTTCGAGTTAAAATTATATCTACTGTATAACTAAAAAAAATAGTAGATATTTTGCCAAATTAAGAAATTATATAAAAAAGCAATCTGCCATTTTGAACATCATTCAGCATGACGTTATCGTCTATTTCTAAGCTATTGGCATAATGTTTTCCTTGCACTTCCAGTTGATCACTTACCAAACTCCAATTGGATATTGTTCTTCACCGACTGTGGAGCTTTCTGAATCTAGCAGAGTGCATTAACCTTTTAAAGTTTTCAACCTCTTTTTTTGTGGGGAGAAATATATTTGGGTTTTGACCTACTCAACTGTCTGACGTCGGACCACTGCAGTGCATCTGCGCATGCGCTGCTATCGGCATTACGCGTGCGCAGATACATTGCCTCAGGCGAATCTGGTTTTTGCGCGCGTGCAGTGCCCACACCCGGTGTGGGTAAACACGGGCTTGTTTGTAAACGGTGCGTTGGTCGTTACATAAAGTTGTTTTATTAGGCCCTTACATTGCCGCCTCGGTGACTCCGAGGCAAAGCTCCGGCCTACGGATCCCCAGGTGGCGGGTTCGAATGCCGGCCGAGGTGCCCGCAATCTGACGGAGGTTTATTGCGGAGAAGGCGCCGTGTAACCGAGCTTTCGGTTGCACGTCAAAGGATCCCCAGGCGGTCGAAATTAATCCTTTAACCAATGATGGGGATCTGACACGCTGGGGCGTGCCAGATGCCCGTCGTTGGTTTGGCACGTGAAACCCCCAAATTCAACTTTAGGCACTTACATATTTGTTATAAAAGCTCCCTGAAGGCCACACTAATGTGGCCTGTGCAGGCGAGTCGTTCGACGAGGAATACATAATATTGGAAGGTATAATCATAAAGATACATCGAATAATTAATTAAAATATGTTAATTAACGTTTTAATAATTGAAAATAAGCGCATGGTTTCATCTAGAAACGTGCTGAGCGTCATATAAAACCAATAGGTCATTCAGGTTTGAAAGACTAAAGTTACCACTCGTTAAACAGTCACATGGATGGCACGCGTAGAAAACGCGGATGGCAATGTTAACGCTCATGTTTTTTCACCGCCAGCCTTGAGCTGGTTGCACGAGTGGTAAGTATAGTGCCCTTCCACGCTTCCCATGCGCATCAAGTCTTTCCGAAATTACCTGATTTAGTGGTTTTCGATAATGAGTTTATAATTTGAACAATATGCTTATTTTCACGAATAAAAAAAATTAGCTTATTGTAACAATTAGCCCCTTATATTATTTATATGCCACTGGCCGTAGGAACAGACAGCATTAGTGTAGATCTCAGGACCTTTTTCTTAAAAAGCAATCTGTAAAGCCGAAAGAACCCCTTATATAAGGTAGATGTAAGTTGAAAACTTTGGCTAAACTTTCCCGTCTTACTACTGCAAGCACTGCCAATGCATTTCCGGCATATAAACAAAGAAACAACACAAAAGCACTCCTTTGGTTTTAGGTGTCCATTACGTTGCCAGGAACGCGCCTCTGACTGGCGTGATGCCACGCTATAAGAATCAGGGGCCAGCGAAAATCCTCACGTCATCCCAGTTGGCAGGTGGCGCCAACTCGGAAATTGGACACGTAAGCCTAATGGCAAGCGTGCGTTGATTGGGCACGAGGCCCGGCCGAACAATGACGCAGAGCTCGTATCAAATCGGCGTGTTTGCTCGATCTCCCTGCGATGACGTCACTATTCTAGTACACGGACTTTGATCATTCTGACTGGCGTTGGTCTATCGAGTAGTCATTTGGGGTTCCCCGATTTCCGCCTCATTATGCTATAGAATTGTCATGCTCTTGCAGATACCGCGATCCTGGCGGTGGCGCAGCGACGGTGCTGTGTGCGGCAGACGCTTACGCTTTCCGCCGGAGCCCGTTCTGAAACCAGACAGTTGACGGAAACGCAGCGACCCTCGCGTCTGCTTGCTTTTTTTTTCTCCAGCGTTTCTACGACCAACCGCCAGGTACGTGACATCCGACAAGATAATATGCCGGCTCCAGTGACGTAATTTTGTTGCCATTTCGAGGCCACCTTCGATGTATGGGCGGGATAGCACGACAAACGCACCAGTCAATAACGTGCTCCAGGAGTGTTGGCTTCCGCGAAGACATCAAATGAACGAATAATGCTATCGTGCCGTTCGACTTTACTTAGTTCAAAACACTGTTTGCTAAGACGTCCGTTGTGAACCGCGGTTAATTTCGCGTTCTTGATGCAGGTTTCGTAGGAGTCATTCCTTTTGTACACAAGCACAAAGGCCAGTCTGAAGGCAGTGTTTCTCGACCACCGCTGTTGTTGCCGCACCATTCGCTGTATCCGCATACTTTGAAAAAAAGAAAAGGGTCTCTTGCCCAGTCACAGACGATTGGAGGCAGTCTGGCAACGTTGCAGTCACTCAACGTCGTTGCGGTGACCCGACGAGTCCGTAGAGCACTATGCATCGTCCGTTTCCCGCCGCTTTTGGCACACGTCACCGCAGCACTTTCTTTAGCGTTGGCGACAGTATGGCACTGGTGTGGTAAAAAAAGAATGTCTTGAATTTGTTTCCACGACTCATATGAAAGACTTCGGCTTTTCTCAGGTGACCCTGGCTGCTGGTCTTCCGTTTCTTGCTAGTGCTGCGGGAAAGAAATATGCATCTTAGTGTCGAGGTATTGCGAGCTTTGTTCGTCACTCAGACGTCACTTTGAGACTCGAGTTGAGGGCAGTTATGTGAGTATACGGCGAGCAACTGAGGGAGAGGAGGAAAGAAGAGCGCGAGGGGAAGTCAAAACATCGAGCTCTAGTTGGAATGATCAGTGAGTAAACGCAAAACTGGCTGCCTTTCTCTCTACTCACTCTACGAACGCGTTCGAACGCGAATGCCGAACGGAAAACACCGGCGTCCGCTGTTCGATTGGGCTGGAAGTGTGAGTATACAGAGACAAAGGCAGCTAGCTTCGCGTCTACACACTAATCATTCTAACCAGGACTCGGTGTTTTCATGTCCCCGCGTGTTCTCGTCTCCTTCTGTCCCTCAATTTCTCGCCGTATATCATATTGCTCAAATACGAATTAAGAATCGTCAAGAAGCTTGTCCCACACACTCATTACTGCCAGCCGCGATTCCACCACAATGCGCACATAGTCGGCTACCGAGGCGCGTGTCACGCCAACGTCACAGAATTGGTCATGGCTACTGCCTTTGCTACTGCCATTTCCGAAGAAAGCGCGCGCACAGCTTTAATGAGCGTTCAAAATGGGAGAGGGCACGCATGCCCGTACCTTTGGCTGCATTGACGAGACATGTTGTCCCCGAGTGTAGGCTGCTTTATAGGGAGTTCGTTTCACACCCACTGGCACCGTTCAAGTTCTCTCCCAGAAGGCATCGCACTCGCGGAGTGTCGCACGGAGAACTGGCCTCAAACAAACTTGCCAAGTGCACGGAGTGCAAAAGACTGATGCTGCCGCCATATATGTTGTACAAAGAGTACCGACCCCAAACTGAAACTAGCGCATTTCTGTTCGACGTGATGGGTGGGAATGCGAAAGTGCAGTCGCTACCAACGTTTATCTATAAATGTTGGTCGCTGCAACCTGTAGTTTTTTATGCGATGACTTCAAGCAACTCGGCTGTCGTAGAGCTATTTACAGAGGGCGTAAATTTTCGGAACCAGCTGACTACAAAGCAGCTGAAATTTACACTGGAGAAAACTGATGATGCTGCCCGCGCAGATTCTGGATCCGTTTGAGCATGGTATTATGCGTGAACCACTGAAAGGGTCTGTCTGAGTATCCAGCAAAACGTTTCGTAGGACTTTCGACTTCGATCGTAGTTACAGGTGGATCAGATTTTAGCCTTGGTGAGGGCGTCGAGAATGAGAGCTTCCTCAAACAAAATACGACAGGGCAAGATAGCTGACGTAGGTAAATGATAAAGATTATGTTGCCCAAGCATCGGGTAAAGTCATTATGTTTAGCTTTCTCGGATGCGTATTGGGCAGTCACTGGTTTATGTTGGAGGATCTTTGTCGACAAATGTTAAAATTTTCACCCGCACACGGAGGTTGATAAAGGTCTCGGGGGCCACTGATGCGTTTGTTCTGAGCCTTTCTTTACACACTTGTATATTGCAGCGTTTTAACGGCAACAAAGCGGTTAAAAACGAAAATAAAGCACGGGTTGTCAATTGCTTCCTTCATGAAATAGCAGACATTCACAATTCAAGCTCGTGTTTGATTCTGTTGCCCGCGGGACACGATTTCTATCAGAAAAACTACTTCTTTTCCTTTCGACTCCGCTGTACGAATGACACATCGTAGCAGACGACCCCTTATCGTCTGCTCCCGCTCCTCGCCGGAGCGGGACATGACGGGATTGCATTTTGGCGCACGCTCGATTTCCACGGTGCAGAAAGGGCATGCACGCGTGGGGTGCTGGCACTGAAACGAACTCGGAGAGTGCAACCACTCGTAGAGTACCGGCCGAAACGAACCCGCTCCACGCTGCGAGTGGGCACGCGTGGGCACGAGTGCCGTGATACGGACTCGCTATTAGTTGTGGGACTCCCACCGGAGGGGAGTTCCACAACCTTTCAGTCCTTTGAATCTTTTCAGTCCGCCTCCCGACGTTTGAAGCACCATCAAATTTTCGTTTCAAAACTGTGTTCATATAATACGGTAAAACGCCATCTAGACGCTATGCATCAAAGACAACGTATTACATAGTACACACTGCATTTACCATATGTCAGCCGTCCCCCCAAAACGATGGTGCGTGGAACGACGGTAGGCGAGCCGTGGGGTCAAAGCAGGGGGGGGGGGGGGGGACTGCTTGTGCAAGCGGCGTCTAGGCAGTTCCGTAATTGAGATAATATAGTAACGGCTTTGCTTCTAGGTCTGCGGAGCTATTCGATGCGGTGGCTGGTATGTGGTGGGGTTTATTTTATGTAATCTTAACTTGTATCCAACTATAGACGTGGTACTGAAGGGAACATCACTGTAACTGGCATAAAAATAATGTTCTAGTAGTAAGAGAGGTGATCTGGTGTAGCCGCTTCATAAGTTCTATGAACTAAGAAAAATAACTAGAATTATAGAATTGAGACCTGTGTTTCTCCGTCCTTTTAGTTCCTTCGGTCTCGAATAACCATTGCGAAAAGCGACTCATTATGCATTCTTAGGCGGATATCTGAAATGTGTAATTGAGATAAAACCAATGAAGAAACCGGAGGTTCGGTTGCATTAAAAACTAGAAGTAAATCTGCAGTCTGTTGAGTGAGGAGTTTTTAAAGGAATCCTTTAATAAAGTCTCAGGCCTTCAGAGCCCACACTTCTTTAGTTTAGAAACCACAAGAAATATTAGAAAAGCTATGTCAGAGCACTTGCGAAATAATCTTTTAAAACGTCAATTGAAGGACAGTTGAATAATTCAGAAAAAAAAAATTACTTGTCTAGCTGTCAATATTTTTTAAAATATATTTTGTAGCAATCCTTTCTTGCTCTTCCACAATAGTCCGAGTCGGCTATTGGGCATTGAACTAAGTGACCATCTAGTTTCCTGTATAAATGATCTGACTAACCACGTTAATAACGACTGAGTTAATGCTTAGTAATTGGTACGTTCATGGTGAAAGAAAAAGGGAACAGAATTGCTCAGGCGGATATTGAAACCTTTGGATGCCGGAGTTGGCCCAGAGCTTGCAGTGGACATTCAAGTTTGAATATGCTTACCTGGACACTGGTAGATATGACCATCTGACCTTGGAGGCCTCGGTGTTCGTTTGACCGTAGCGTACAGAGGCTCGTCCTGCACAGACACAAATGTCACAGTTTTCAAGTTTACTTATTCATTTAAAATATCCTCAGTGCCATCGGCGTTACAGTGGGTTATGGGGGTTAGCACACTTCGATAATCAGCAGGAAGAGTATAGACCATTGACGGCAGTTTTCGATAGATGATCAATGACAGTTGTGGCTATTGGTGCTTAGGTGGTTCAGTCCACAGATGTTGTCGGGATGAGCGACTCCTCAAATGTATTAGTTGAATTTCGGAATGTCTACATATATGATTCATGCGTGATGAAATATAAAATGTATGACTTGGCAATCGATCGTGAATGAATGAATGAGTATGGCATATCTTATGAAAGAGACACAAGCGAACTATTTTTCGACTTAAAGCAAGTTTCGGCCATGATAGGGTGGCTTTCATGGAGGTTACGCTGGCAGTTCGATGATACTTGTTAGGAATAAAATGATCAGAACAATTTTGCAATTACCTCAAGTTAAAAAAAAAAAAAAATCATGCAAAGGGAATTTTACAGTGCAAGTTGGGGGATCGGTGGCCGAGTGGGTTAGAGCACACCAGCTCGGAGCACGTGGAGGGAAATCTCGCGCTGCAGAACAGGGGGATGTTGGGTTCAATCTCCACCCCTGTTTCGATCTAGATGAGCATCATACTGGCGTGCGGTCGTGTGCACGTTAAAAACTCCGGGCTAACGGTTGTACTGCACTGGCTAAATTTCTCATCTATAGCTGGAAGACAAGTTTTAGGCTGTATAAACACACACACACACACAACAATTACAGCGCAATTTCACTTTGCCTTAATGCTGCGAAACTTGCGCAGTCCTAACATGTTCGGTCACCATGTCTGTTCTATGGCCAGTCGTGACAGGCTGACCAGAAGGGCCGGCGCCAATCAAAAGTGACAGCATTCACTTAGGAATCCCGGTGATTCGTCATGTTATAGAAAAATGACTTAGTCAGCCATTTGCGGCTCACGCGAGAGAAATGAAGACCTGATTGGTTTTGATGGTGGTACAGAGCTAATGAGTCTTCCCAGAGCACCGGGAGTCAAAGCTTCCTTTTGAACCCGCTTTGTGGCGCTGCAAGCGATGGCTTCAAAATTGAAACTTTGTAGAACCGAATAGAATTGATCGGGTAGCTAGCACGCTTGCCGGCATGCAAGCGGAATTGTTTTTTTCGGCATCTAGATTACGGGTTATATATACTTTACACATATATACCTTACAGAGAAATCTCCAACGCACATGCTTATCACTTCGTAACCGGTCGTAATTCAGGAGCTGCCCAGAGCCCCCGCGCCAGCGTTTCGCACACGTTTTTATGCCTTTCACAGATTATGCCTAGGGCTCATATACATTTAAAAAAAAGCATGACGCAAAATAACAACGCTCTAAATTTAACAGTAAATGTTTCGCCGCTAAATTTAGTTCCGAGTAAGTCCACTAAATTTAGAGTAATTTAGCGTGACTCCTGAGCACAGATAAGCTCATCCATGATCACTGGACGCAACTCAAAGCACACTTCACATTCTATGTTTCCTGGTTTTCACAAAAGAATTAATAGGCATTTATTAATGCGGAAGCATTAACTGTCTCATGGAGCGAGCTGACGTCATCAGTTTGTAGCGCGAAAACGGCTTCTAGTTTCCGCCGCGATCCTAAAGCGTGTTTCACATGCAGCGATTTTGGCCCTAGAGCGGCGCGATTTCTGCCGTCGCGGCGCTCGTGCCGCTCAACCGCTGGTGCTGGCCAGAGCGCCGCGACGGCAGAAATCGCGCCGCTCTAGGGCCAAAACCGCTGCATGTGAAACACGCTTGACAGGAGCGATTCGCCTTCGGTTCCACTGGCTGGCGCGTGTCCACGGTGCTCCCATTGGCCGCTGCGCCATGGCCTCCGAGATCTCGAAGCGCGCGCGCTCTAGAACGCAGCAGACGACAAAGGGAGCAGACGAGCAGACGACAAAGGGAGCGGATGAGCGGCTTGCATGCTTTCGCATTCTCAATTCATAAGAAATGCTTAGGTGTACCTCGAGCTTTTTTTTTCGCTCTTGTGTCTTCAAGATTGCTGGAATCGGAAAATAATCGACTGGTTCGATTTTTCAGTCTCAGAGAATGCTTTGGATCACGGTACTCCGGGCACATTCATTGCGTCTATACTCGGTGACGGTTAAGAGTAAAGTGGAAGCTCCTCCCACCTCTTTCCACTTTAGCTGAGCGAACGCTGGAGAGGAAACGACATCCTCTCCAGTGTTCGTTCTGCTAAAGTGGAAAGAGGTGGGAGGAGCTTCCACTTTACTCCTAACCTGCCACCGACTTCAGTGTCCGCCTTTTAAAGCAGACATACGTTCTATTGTCTAAGCCATAGAGTTATTATAATGTATTCTAGAGGTTCAGCTGGTGCTCGTGTCTACGCGACTTCCAGGGTGAAAATTGAATTGTGCATTTTCTCTCTTTGCCGGATAATAACATGGATCACTTTTGTCATTTGGGCCGTACCGAATTGTATGCACCTTTATTAGCACCGTGAAAGCGTAATCGCTAGTTTTTTTATTCATCAGTGAACGATATTAAACTTCGATATATGTCAGGCCCAAACCTGTGTCCCACAGGTGTGTAAACACGAGTGACGAATCTGAGCAAAATAACAATCGAAAGGAATGCAGACTGGGTTCAAGCTTCGCCAGCATTCCGGCGACGCTTATATATTGTTGATATGCCAGCCCTGTCAGATATATGGAAATGACCCCGTCGCGCATGTTCATGAGCGGTTCAAAACATTCAAAACGCAGAGAACAAAATACGTTGGTTGTGAAAGGTGTATCTTCTTCGTTATTTTCTGTACCGGGCAGCTCTAATCGGGCACTTGCTGTCTGGCTTCTATTTAAAATATATAAAATAAGCATATAAGTATAAATAAATATAAATCACAAATAAATATATTTTTTGAATATATAATTCGCACATGAGCACGAGCGGAGAGAATACAGCAAAACTTATTTATTTAAAATTAGGCTATATTTAACCTGACCTTCACTTTATTTTGATCGTTTACATGCACAGGGATGTACTCATCCAGTGTTACTGCGTAGTTCTTTCCGTCTCTCTAGCCTATGCAGACGTCCTTCGTTCGCTTGGTACGTAAATCTCCCATGCAGAAAAGCTCCGACGACGCGTTCGCGCTAACAGTGCCCGACAGTGCACATAAATGTGTACGTGTGAAGCTGGTTTAGCTCTGTGTTCAATGACACGAATTTAACAAAAGAACGCTGTAACTGACCAATACTTTTATTTACGTGATTGAGGAATGTTGCAAATTATTTACTACGTTTTAAACATTCGTAATATTTTCTCTTAACAATCGAGCGCAGAGAAAGAAAATAAAATGCACCCGCTTTTCCCCGTAGAAGTGCGTTACCGGAAGTAAATTTTCGTCCGGCTGCTGTCTGCTTCGATTTGTAACAACACACTATATTCGGCGACAACTTTTCTTGGCAATGCAGTGGAAGGTACAGGCACGTGTTTTCTATCCAATTTTGTGCGCTAGATAAGGCTGTGCGTGGGCTATCGTCAACTTCCTCTGCATTGCCAAGAAAAGTTGTCGCCGAGTATAGCGCCAGCTGAACCTCTAGCGTACATTATAATAACTCTATGGTCTAAGCATCCATTTTTATAGTCATCGAGACGATGAAATCTGCAGGGTGTCTCTTTCGAAAGCACGGCCTCTAACAAGCGCTCGTCGCGTTCCATGGTCCTTCGGCTGCGCGTGCATGCTCGAAGTTCACGTGGCGCCAAAGCGCTATTGAAGGTGTAGACGCTAAAGACACGCGCTAGATTGAGCCGCCATTGCCGACCTTCTTTTGTCCTACCGAGATACCGAGCCACTGAAGCGGGCGTTGACGAGCCTCCACAAAGGCCTATGCCGAGGAAAACAAACACAGTGGTACCTGAAGTGCCAATAACCCGTCCTGATGTGGCAATGATGAAGTGAAGCGAACGGAATAAGAGAAAACAAAAACTGAAGGTCGGTTATGGCGGCGTCCATACTCAGCTACCTTACAGCGTGTATAGAAAGTATTCACTGGCGGCTATGGCTGTGTGCGCGACTTCTGAGCGTGTGCTGATCGCGAGCTTCAACAGTTCTACAAGGTGAGTGTACCCATTGTTATATTACCCAAGCATCCAGGAGAATGCGGGGATTGGTGTTCCACGCGCCGCACGCGCTGGCCTCAGCAGTAGTAACTTTTCTAAAGCAAATATCTAAAACAAATGACATCCTGCACGCGCGTTCGTCAACGCTTTATTTTGGTAATTTACTTCGAATCTTTCATACGTGGAAGGCGTGCGCGTGTGGCGCGTGGAACACCAATCCCTGCCTTCTCCTTGATGCTTGGGTAATATAGCAAATGGTCTATTCCCACCGTCAAGCTTGCCGGTTTTAGCAGGCTGTTATTGTGAGCTCGTTCTGAGCATGCTCTCTAAACTGCGACTTTGAATATGCTGTCCAGTGAATAATAGGATGCTGGCTCGGGAGGCGGGATAATTTAAGGACCTCGATCCTTGCGGTTCTCATCCCGTCAGTGACTACGGCCAATAGCACCTAGGAGGCAAAAAGGCTGTGCATGGGCATCATTGTTAGTCGGTCCCATACCCGCCCCAGGCGGCGAACACGCGGAAGCTTGACGAGAGTCGTCGCAAAGGGGCAGACGAGTTCGTCCTTGGCGACGCCACCCGCTAGGGTGGCGCTCGTTGTCAGACGCTGCGAGACGCGCTGCATGGCGGCGACGCTGATATGCGAGCCGTGGCGGCGCTGCGTTGACCCACTATACTCGTTTTCACCTCAAGAAAAGAGGACGTTTTGCGCATTGTTCATACGCCGGGCGAAGTAGTTCTTACACGATTTGGTTGTTGGAGGAAGAAGCGATCCTTTTGGCGTTTGAAACGTATACGTCTTGATTAGATAACATATATCTAATCTAAAATGCACCTAGATATATATTAATTCTCCTCGTAAAATGGAAAATTAGTAATGCTCCGCGAGGAGCCGGACTTTTTTTCCTTCGGTTCTTTAGGTGACAACGGGTATAGTGAAAAACAGTTGGGTGAGGGAGGGGGAACGGATAGGGGGAAGGCGCACGCCTGGTCTTCTAGGGGAATTGTGTCACCTGGTGGTCTGCCCTCTTCTCGGGGCCCCTGGTGCCCAGGTGGGTGGTGGCGTACGGAGCTGGGAAAAAGGCACTGGTGGAGCACTCCTTCCCAACCTTGCCCTCCAGGTCCGTCATCTGCATGGCCTCTTGCATGCCATTCTTTCGGGTGCCGTACAGCGAACTGCCTGCGCCACGCCGGAAGGGAACAAGCGCCCCCCGTGTTTACCATGCGGAAACGTATCGGGTGGGTTCAGTATAGACACTGTATGTTGGCGTTACGTCAAAGGCCCCTCGTAAAATGACTGCTGTTTTTCATACCAGAGAAGTCAGGCAATTGTGAGGAAACTACACCGGCGATAGAAAATAGAAATTCATCAGAAGACAAATTGATTAAATGGCTATTCAGAGATAATAACTGTTCGATCAGAACTGCCCGTATGTATAGTTCTCATCGATGTGTTAGAAACACTGATATAATTGTTCCCTGTGCTTTTATTCGCGAACCCAGCGACCATCCCTGTCGCCACTCGACAAATATTGCGGACGAAAACAGTTCGGGCTTTGCCTTGTGCCCGCTCAACAAACAACGCTCGGGTATAACGAGCATGCGTTGATACATGCACATTAAGTTTCAAGCGGTTGTGTAGGTTGAGTTTTGAATGACCTAGGAAACACGCTGATTCGACAATAATGACAAAGTTACCTTGACGACTGTTCGCCCTACACAACATGAGAAGCAATGCAGGCCGCACCTAATTCGTTAAATTATTAAGAGTCACGGTTTTTCTTGCGGCTCACCGTTACTGCCGTTTTGGTCGCTGTGGAAACAACCGACGCCACTACCTTCGCTCTTTACTTTAGTGGCCATCGCGCCAACCACCTATGGCTCCGTCGTCGACTTAGCATGGTCACAATCAGTACCTCAGCGGACATCCGTTACTTGTGGTAAAACCTTGGATATCGTCACTTCTGCGACCAAATTCTAGCTGATTGCGATAGTTTGTAGTGTTTTATAGCGTCTCCTGTGACGTGACACTCACTGTAGCTGGACCAATGTAGCTTCCTATTTTTTTTATTTCAGATAAGAATCTCGTTTCTTAGCATGGGCGCGTGCTTCGCGATGACAGACACCCACAGTACCGTGGTACGCAGGGGCGCGATGTGGCATGGCGACCTCGTGCTGTCACCTCGGGTCAAACAAGATGAACAGGCTTCACAGTGGGGAGTACGCAGGGGTAGCAGGAGGGTGGGACTATAGTCAGTATAGCGCGGCGAGCGTCTTACCGTTGGCGTACGTACCACTCTGCGAACTTCCGGAGGAATGTTTCTTGCGGACCACCATGCAGACGACGACTAGGAGTGCAATCACCACGAGGATAGACACCACTACGGGGATGACCACGGTGGCGTCGGACACCACCGAGGACGTCTCTCTGTGCACTTCGGTCCGGGGCGTCACTTGGTCGGCTGCTGCGGGACGAGGAGATTTCGTGAGCTCCGGAAGGTCTTCCAGAAGAAACGATCTTCAATAGAGTTTTTGTCGCCACGCTCTATGATTTCCCTGAGCGCTATCATGACGTGTACGTATATGGTACTAGAAGAGGAGCCTGCTGAAAGCGTCAGAGTGGCCGTTGGTGTTTCGCTAAAGGTTTCGCTTTTTCAGAGTATTAGTTGTGTGATGTCAACTGCCACTGTGTACAAGCCAAAAAGTTTCACCCTTAACGGTGTAAATCAGCACGGATAACACCTTAAAGCCGCGGTGACACTGCTAATAAATCTCACAAAAAGCAGCCTGCAGAATTTTGTGAGGCGTCCCTGTGTGAAAACTTTAAACATAGGGTATTAGGCCTGACTAAATAACGCTATTTTAGAACTAACACCCTATTTTTAAACTATTAGCTGACGAAATTTTTTTTAAATAAGGCGCTGGCAATTTTAGCGGGCCGAAAAGTATGTTTTACGGGCAACGATTTGACAAGCAAAACGCACCACATACAGCTCTGACGTCACATGCACATATACCATAAACACAGACGCAATGAAGCAACACGCACGAGTCCGGAATCTAGGCTCTGTTGACTGCTCCACCCCTTTCTACGAGGTATCCACTCAGCTCGACGCAATGCATCACGGGAAAAGAAACCACATTCCAACCTCCAGAGCTGTAGTTAAAGCTTCGATTCGCGGCAAGTGTTGTTTAGGGTTAGCTACGCCGCTGGGTTTGGAAACAAGTAAAATATAAGTGTAACTTCCACCTGTAAATACTTATTTTGTGTCAAACGTCCAGCGGAAGCAAAATAAAAAAAAAGAAAAAAAGATGGCTGGTCGTCCTATCGGGAGTTTTTGGCGAACCCGTCGAGCGACATCAAGGGCCGCGAAATTCGCTGTTCCAAGGCTCGTGGAAGACGACTTTATATTGACCTTGCGAGTAGTTTTCTATGGCAATTACTCACAACTTTGTTATTGAAGCGAGGGGACGACTTCTAAATTTGCCAATGTACACACGTTCAAATCAAGAGTACTTTAGAGAACCAGATCGTAACATTTCGAGGTTAACTTCTTTTCTTCAACGCGTGCCGTTACAATCGTTAACGTGCGGGCACATTGAGAATGCATGATCGGTTGGATAATAAAATACGCTGCACTGCGTACGCCGCGTGTATCTAATCGACACTTAGCGTACGTTGCTTTGATTGTACATTCGCAAATGAGAATGACTGTCGGCGCGCAGGGCTTACACATCAACTTGCTTGCTTCACGCATGAATGAATCGTTTGCACACAAGCCTGCCGACCCCCCTGAAAGCACGCCCGTCCTAATGCCATTGCGAAGTTTCTCAAGGGTGCTCATCTCTGGATAGCTTTTCTCACGGATGCTCACTCAGTAGAGCACAAGGACGTTAAAACAAGAACAGGAACTATACTATCCGTATACAGAAACATGAGAACAAGGGACTGAGCTAGGAGAACACCACATGACACACGCGTCAAAAACGGAAGATAGCCTCTGTGCACGATTTGGAACGCCCAACAAACGCTCAGTCAACGTTGCACTCGGCTCGTGTAGCAGGTCTGCACTGAATTGTGACATAATGCGAAGACTCAACGATCTAAATATACAGACTGGCACGTGAGCTTCCGCAATATCCAAGGTTACAAACACGTATGTTGCTTTGCCCTCGTCATTATTTAACATAAAGTATATGTTCTGGAAGGTCAACGATCATATTACAAAGTTGTAATAAGCAATACTTATAACAACTTTGTACTTATTACAACTTATTAGTATTGCTTATTGTAATAAGCAATACTTATTCGATGTAGTCGCAGAATAACCTCTGTTATAGCCGCAATTGACAGGGGAGTAATTTCGGTTCTTCGCGCTGCATTGCGGTAGCCCTCTTTCCCGCATAGTTTTTACACCCTTCAAAAATGAAGGGTGTCGCACACAACAGCACCTTATTTTACGATCAAGAAAGCCTTCAATTTCGTCACCACGCACGCTGTTCAATACGGTGGTGCCAGGGTGGAAAGAAAGCATGCTGTTTTTCTTTAAGGTACAATAAATCAGATGCATTTGTTTTAAATGAGATAATTCTGATTTTTATCACTGTAAAGTCACTAGATGTATTTTTAATATTTAAAAATTAATTGAAATTTGCGGGATCACAAAAAAAAACAATGCGGAAGAAAGTATTAATAGCTTCAAGTACATTTTTAAATTACAACTTTTTTAAATGATCCCCGCCGTACAAGATAATCTCTACATGCTTTGTTAGTGGAAACGCTTTAATATCTTTTTTTTTTTTTGGCATTGTCATTTGCTTGCTATAGGACTTTACGCTTCTTTATTTATTTTCTTTCGGATTATGATTTGCTTGTAACAGAACATCAAGCAGCTGTCCAACTAAGTGGAAGGTAGAAAGGAGGATCGCTGTGATTTGCTCCGAAGAGCGCAGCTTTTTGTTTGTGTTCAGCTTGCCATAAATCTGTTTGCTCGATAATTATTTTATTTAAATACAAGGCAAATACATATAGAGAGAATCAAATAATAGCCAAGCGCTAAAGAAAGAGATATGTTTGGGATGTTTTTTTCTTGCGGGAAAGGTTTGATTCAGATCATCAGAACAGGTGTGATGAATTAATGATTAATGAATTAAATCACGATTTAAATCAGTCTGATTTTATTCTCCACCCTGTGTGGTGCCCAGCCACAAGCGTCGCTGTGGTCGCATTTACGGTAGATCGTCTTTTACTATGTTTGATACATCTTTTTTATCGTTGATGGAAATAAGAGCAATATCAGACTGTCGACTTGGGCGCCGTTGGTTTAATAATGCGATTAATGTAAGCTTCCATTATGTTTTTTTTTACATACACCTTGGAATTCGTTACCTTTGATGACGAGGTAAATCCTTGTCTGGATGCCCCAGACGGAAACCACAAAAGGCCGCCACCGAAATACCGCGGCGCTAATAGCCGCTAAACTTCACAAGTACCTTCTACTTGCTCCTAGCAGTAAAGGGTGCTAAAAGAAACCGGTACGAAGTTTTCTTTTTCACTCTTTTTTTTTAGAAATATATCAGAAAGCGACTCGCGTATTTCTCCGGCTAGGGAGCGTGCACAATTCGACAATGTTAGCGCAAGCGTGCACAGTGTCGGCACATCTACGTATTTTACTCTCGCTAGCAAGCGACGGGTACTGAATATTACTATCCTTTTTGGTGCACCGGATGATTATATTCCACCGCACTAGTGTTTCTTAAATGAACTGTGTGAGCGTATATTTTGCCCACACAATATCAACATTTATCGGTGTCTTGTCTGTATGGGCTTGACTCCAAACCACAAAAGCGGCGACCAGATATCACACGATGCAAACAGAACAGCACGCAAAACAAGCGAAAGCTCGACACCACAAAACGTGAGAACTGTACTCATCTTCACTTGGTCACTTGAGCTTTATTTGACAGGATACCCTCCAAGAGGCAGCGTTACCAAGTCTGGTGTCTTCCTTAGCATTGGTTCTGTAGCACTCGTCAAATATACCAGGAACAAATAAATGATCAAATAAACGCCGCAGGGCCGGTGGAAGTTGAGGAATTGCCTGTCCCAGTTTGTTTCTACTAATCCGTCAGTAGAATATTGGAAGTACTCTCGGGCTCCAATGCAACGAAAATGGCTGAGCTAAAGTCCCGAGATAAGAGCTTGCTACAAGTAGCGAGCGGCATTATTAAGCGCCGATTGCGTGACGGTGCAGTTTTTAGGAAGTGATGGCGGCGCACAGCAGAGGTTTGAATTGAATGTCGCCATTTTGTTCCAGCGGAATTTGTTTTGTCCCTTGTATTGGTTGTCGTTACTTGCAAAAAAAATGTGTCAGGGACTTCAGGCGGAGCTAGAGTTTCTGTATAGGCTCACTACGGGAGCCCGAGTTGAGCGTTCATCCCCGTAGCGCCGTCTTTCCTGCACGGCATGTTGAGCCTGCTCCTCACATGATTGAATTCGGCGAATAGCGGCGCCGCGCGTTGGAGGCGCGCGGCGCGCTCAAAAGCAGGGCAAAGTACGTCGGGGCACGCGCAACGTCTACTTTCCTGCACGGCATTTGAGTCTGCTCCTTACATGATCGGATCTCGGCGAATAGCGTCGCGGCGGCATGTGGAAAACAGACGCGCAACCCTGGCTCCCATAGGAAGCCTATACAGGAACTCTACCCTACCGAAAAATCCGGTATAACATTTCACTATCCGGATTATGGAACCAGAAATTTGTTTCTGGAAACCCGAAATCCAGATTGCAGACAAAGGAATAATTTATGAAAAGCTAAAATCCAGTTAGAGTCCAGATAGAATCCAGATAAATTTCCGGTTCCATAATCCGGATAGCGAAAAGTTATACCGGATTTTTCGGTAGGGTAGGCGGAGCTAAGAACGGAGCGAGTACACGGCGCCATCTGGAGGAACCCTGGAGCCCCCGCACCTCCCTCCAAGTGCCGCAGCTGGAACCTTTGGCTAGGTTGCGCAAACCGCCCCCCCCCCCCCCCCCCCCCCGATTTAAAGGGTTTAGTCGTATTCATCCATTCATCTATCCAGCCACTAGAGAGCCTAGGTAGGCGAGCGTTTGCAATTTCATAGAGGACACCCCCGGCGGAAATGGCTTGTTCACGCACATGCGTGTGTTGCCGCGAGACGGCGAGAAGATTAGCGGGCTTTGAGACAGTTGCAGACCGGTCGGCACTTTCACCTCGTCCGCAAACTACGTGGCTCCGATCGAGCAGCTGGAAACACTCTCACATATAGGCATACTTAAAGCCACGTCCTGTGCCACTCGCGTTTTATCAAGGCCCGATAGTACAGACATCGCCTCCTCTATACTCAAAGCCTGGCAGTTCGACGACGGAGCCACATAGAGTGCCCAATCGCAGATTTGGAGTGCGTGTATCTGGTAGCACAGGGCATCAAAGAGACATTTCTC